TTAGTATTTGATCTATTTTGTTTTCATTTTTGTGACTTTTAATTGGGCTTCTTTGTACTTTTTTACTGGGACCAAATAACAGTTCCTCTTTTTCTCTATTTCTTTTCCGATTGTCATCGGATGTATTATCATCTGAATCCATATTTCTGCTGCTACTAACCTCGATAGAGCCAACCTCCCCACTCAACGCGTCGAAGGAAGATAGTTCTCTCAAGTAGTAGCTTGTAGTAAGTTATTTTCTCGTTTTCTTCCTGGATAAATTAATTTTTAATTTAAATAATTGTCAGTTACTTTGGAACGGTTTGATGTGGCAACGCCCACCTCTAGCTTTTAAAACTGATATAGTGTTAATTACCTGGGCCGGTTTTGTTTTTAGTTTTTTGTGTTGAGAGTAAATAAAATTTCCTTCGCCTTCCTAAATTTATCGAGGTTATGCACTTACCTCTCTTCCAATGTCTTTGCTATAATTACCCTTAAAACTTTTATTCTTGTATTACACACTGCACGCAAAATCAGCAAAATTATCGACTCACAATAACCAAAAATTGAAATTATTATGGAGCAGAATTTACACACATCTATTCCTTACACTAGAGATGGAAGGAATCATCAATAGCGTTTTTATTTCTAAAAAGATTACAAGTCATCACTGTGTTTCAGGGGGCACATAAAGCCATCTGTCTCCCTGGGCTAGTGTGCATCATCACTAGTTATCTTAAACCAAGGGAAAGATGCAATTGATGACAGAACAATCCAGAAAGATCTCCTTTGCTAAAAGTCATACAATATTATTATATCGTATATCAGAGTAGATAAAGGATTTTCGTATCATTATGTTTTTTACACAAGATTGTCGTAAGGTTTGTTAGAATTTGTTTCAAAATTTACAAAAAATATCACGAAGAAATAAATTCTGATGTTTTCAAAGATTATTTTTTTCAAATAATAGATTTCTTACCCATCAATTCTGTAGTGGTTATGGATGTTGTCAGTTACCATTCAAGATTAAAGGAACCATTATATAACAATAACTCTTAAGGAAAAATAATGAATTCTTAGATTGGTTAATAAGCAAAGAAATAAAGGTAGAAGGAATAGTCAGAAAAGAACTTTTACTGTTGTGTAAATTCACCAATGTTTAAGAAGTATGCTGTCGATGAAGTAACACTAGAATGGAAGCTATGGTGTTGCGATTACTACCTTATTATTATAAACTTAATCCCATTGAACATTACATTTTACATATTCAATTATGGAAAATTTGGTGCCTTCACTCAGTTATTGTACCGCCTCACCATCAGATTTTTTTTAATGCTGTAATGTTTTCTTTTTTCCTGTTACCTTTCATGCTATTACTTTTTTATACTTTCATTAATAGGTACATTTTTTTCTCAATTCACTTCTCTCGCATTATTTTTAGATATATGCAGATAATTTGGTATTCATCAGTTCTTATTGATCTCATTATATAATTTTATGCCATCTTCAAAATATTGTATGTCCGTAAAGGTAGCATATCCATTTTATAAGGCTGAATTCAGACCAAGACTATACTTTATTGCTAATTTATTATGGAAACAAAAAAATTATTGCTGTAGCTGTTTCCGAGAAACAATGGGTATGCTAACTTTACTGTAAAGCTAGCAGAGCCATAGCTATATATCGTCAAGGAAAAAGCTACAGAGCCCATCTTAGGGGCTATTTTATTACTAATTAATTGCTGTTGATTGTTACATTGAACAATCCCCAAAAACTACCCCATCATTTTCTAGCGCAAAACTCATCCCCTGAAAAATTAAGATATCAGCCAAAAACAATGAAACTACAAAAGTGAACCGCAAGGAATTAATTGCTTTAATTTTACACCAAGAATCAATTTATTGCTACAACAGTTTCTGAGAAACAATGTTTATGCTAACTTTATGGTAATACTATGTAGCCATAGCTATATCTCGCTAATAAAAAGGACTATAGGGTCCATCTTTTCGGCATATTTTATTGCTAATTGATTGGTACATTGTCCAATCTCCTAGCGAAAAACACACTCTGAAAAAATCGAAATATCAGACAAAAACATTGAAACCAGAAAAGTCAATTACTAGAAATTAATTGCTCATTTACTGGTAATATTTCAAAAATTTTTGGTGAAATACTTTCAGCTACGATGTGACAAACTAAGGTTCCTGGAGTCTGGTTACGGTTCTAGAAAAAGATTCCTTGACAAATGTATGATTTTGACGAAGAAATTTCATGATGATGAAGAAATTTCACTAATAAAGACATCGGTATCTAAACTGTGAATAATTATTTGAGAATCCCACGCAAAATCATATATTATTGTTTCTAAATGATTGCTTTCAAACTGAGGTAAAATAATGATTTTTTACTGAGTTCCAGAGTTTTGGAAATGGCCTATTTTCGCGTTTTTCAAAAATTCAAACTCATAACTCAACAAAGATCAACTTTGTAAAAATTTACTAAGGACCTTTTTTCTCCAGAATGTCGCAAAAAACTTACCCTGGAGAAAATGTTGATTTTTGAAATTTAGTTTGAAAAAATTATTTAAACAAAATCTTAACCAAAGGTGGTCGTAATTTCTTGTGGATTTGATATAAGGGACTAATTTTTGATAAACTTGTTCACTTCTCTAGTTTCAATGTTTTTGACCGATATCTGGATTTTCCTGGGGATGACTTTTGCGCTAGCGTATGATGATCTCGAACCAAATCAGGATACCACGTTGAACCAGCGTTTTTAAGAATCGGTCTTACGTAAAGAGTGTAAAGTTTACAGAATGACTGCATTGAAATTCTCCAAAAAAAACCTCAGAATAAGAAATAATCTGGAGTTCCCACATTTACAAATAGAATATGGTCGGACCAAGTTAGGCTGCTGTTTACGATAAGACTAAGGTCGTTATACGAGAACACAGAATATAATGGTTGCCCTTTAACAAAGTACAGCACAAGTGGTTTATTTTTACCAATTTGAAGTACTACACATTTTTCCACATTTGAGGGTAGTAGCCACTGGGAACACCAAGTTAAAATAGAGTACAAGTCTATTTGGAAGTTTAGCTGGTTTGTGCTTGCGTAGGCATATATTTTTGTGTCATTAGCAGAGAACGATATTTTACTTGAAACATAATAAGAAACATGGCTGGTATGAACCATAAAAAGCAGAGGTCCAAGGGCAGAACCCTGAGACACTCCACTTTCTACTAACCTGTCTTGTGACTCTAACTTTGTAATGTCGATCCATCAGGAAATCATTTATTCAACGGATTAAACTACCGAAATGTTCTAGCTTTTGTAGAAGTCTGCGCTTAGGAACACTGTCAAAGGCTTTAAAGAAGTCTAGTTAAACAACGTCGACCGGTTGCAAACTGTTAAGGGCTGACGTCCAGTCGTTAACACAATGTAGGAAATTGGTTAGAGTAGAGCGACCAGAGACAAATCCATGTTGTGTTGGAATAACATGTTCCTAGAGAAGGAATTTGGTCATCTCGGAAATAATGGCTTCCCTAACTTTGCCAATTACTGGCAGCAAGCTAATCGGATGATAATTGTTGGTATCGAGTGTGTTGCCTTTTTTTAAAATAGAAAATAGGAGTGACAGATACTAATTTACAACTAGGGGGTAAGGAATTCTGGATAAAAGAAGTTTGTATAATTAACGTTAAGAGTATTGCAGGTGGTTTTGGTAATCATTGCTAAGCCCAGAGTGTAAATTTCCGATGTCGTTTGTGATTAATTTATTTTATTTCTGTTCGATTTATCCAGGATTTAAGCTAGTTTTTATAAATCTTACGGAAGGTGATATATGTAGAAATTATGTTGTGGATGGTATCGAGAAATGAGTTCACAGTGATGAGAGGTCGTTTAAGTCTGCAAAAAATAAGTGCCAGTCGATTTGAGAGCTTTTGCGGTCTTCGATAGATAAAATCAGCTGTTCGTAGTTAATAAGCACTAGATCTACAGTAGAAGGATGGTCATGAATTGTAATTCTAGTAGGTTCTGTGATGAGTTGTATTAGGTTCGAATTTACTACAAAGCTTTTAATAAAATTATGAGCGTTTTCGGCATCAGATAATGAAGATATTTGCCAGATGAGTGCGCATTGGTAATTGTTACGAGTAATCCATCTAGTCCAAAGTAGAGACCTAGGGTGGGGGAAGTTCATGTAATATTATCTTATTATACTCGGTTCGCTATTCCCAGTCCGAACTGTCTAGTGAATTTAGTAATTATTTTTTTGCGAAGTTAGTTACTTTTTGACAGACTAAAAGTGTCCGGAAATTACTATACAACCAAGCACACGTTCTCATAGCCAATATTAATAGTAAACAAACTAAATAGTAAATAAAATAGAACTTTGCGAATTACCGACAATCAATATTTATTTATCTGCACCATATAATAAATAGTTATGTTAAATCATAACAACTAAAATATATTTTTTAAATATAATACTACCCAAAATTTGATGAGTTAAGTGTACACTTCCACTATTTAGAATAATTCTTCTTTTTTCAAAGGAGAAAGTCTGCAATAGTAGTATACTTGAGCTATTAATACTGAGAAGTAGGAATTGTTGTGTTGTAGGTTTCCGACAATGAATCTGTCAAAATATGCCGGGGCTAAGCGAATGGAGTATATGAATCCAATACCCAATAATATATCCCGTATTGTTTCTATAAATTCATTTAATGCTGTGAACTAATACGACTCTGTCTTTGCTCGATATATTACAATAATTGTGTACCAGCAATATAAATGAGATCTCTCAAATAAATATCTTGGATCACCTGTCCTGCTATACTGCGGTGTTAAAGTTTAAGACTATTTGAAGCTGTTTATTTGTAGTATCTTGAATTTTTGTTTCTCTTAAATATCACTATAAAAATGAAACATTTGAAAATTAATGAAAAATTTCAATCAGAGCAATACTTTCTTGGACTGTTCCTCTAACTTTATATATTTACGGTAAAACATTTTTAGGTGAAAAAGGAAGAAAAAAGACTTGCATTTGAAGAATTTTTGGCCAAAAAAGAAACGGAACCCAAAAAAGAAGAAACAATTGAAGAATTTGCCCTGCAGTATGATCTTCAACACAATAACTTATTTTTAAGAGTTTATGACACAACTATAAACCAATTGTACAACAACCGATTGATCCAAGCTATGCAGTTTGGTCAAAAATTGGTAATAGATTGTGGGTACGACGTTAATATGACCAAAAGGGAAAACCTAAATTGTGCTAAACAATTTATGTTGTTATTTGCTGAAAATAGATTACATGATGGTTAGTATAACTTTATTGTTAGTCTAAAGGTTTAGGGGTATTCATTAATTAATTAAGGGTTAGTTCTTAAGGATTAATCCTTGTTATACCGATTCGGCAAGTTTTTAACTACCGTATACGTTATTCAGTATGTAGAACAAAGATAACACTTAATTGTTTGAATACGAGTGAGACACAATTTCTGTTACATAATTCCTTCTAAAACATTAGTCGGATACATGAGTGTAACATAATGTTTAAATCCACTACAGTTCATTGTAGAATGAAAATTAATTTTGCCCCAACAAAACTTACATGAAGTAATTATGTAATTTGTTATTTTTTAAACGATTATATCATTACTTGATTAATTAACAAACAGCAACAACAGCTAAATAAATAACGCACTTCACTAGATAGACAAATAGTATAAACGGTTTTCCTTCTCTAAGTAAGGTATATTTCTTTGATTTTTAGTTGTATATATATATATATATATATATATATATATATATATATAAATGGTCTTCCATCTAAAGTTATTATATACACCTCCTGCAATGTGGGAGACAGCAGAGACTAAACGACGGTGGATATGTAAACCAAATAATATATTATAGTGTATTTGGTGCAAAAAAATCTGTAATCCTAACGATTTATAACGTTTTGTTTTGCAGTGATTAACTCTTCTTTATTCGTATTAAACGTGTAGTGCAGTGGAAGATCTTCAGGTATGTGCTTATATAATTTTTATTTTGTTACAGAACTGATAATAAATACAATTTAATTTTGTTTAAATTTAATACTTAGATTAAACAAAATATAATACATTATAAGATACTAAGATATAATTATAAGATATTATAATAGTTTGCACAGTATTACTTGTGTTAGCATAAATTGGTCGGTCAAATAGACGAAATTTTGATGTTAGTATTCCAAAATTATATATATTATGCGAAGAGCACTTGAAGGATGGGAAAAGGGCATCTCAATAAATGGTCATAAACTAAACAACCTACGTTTTGCAGATGACACAGCCCTTCTTGCAAATAGTCAAGCAGAACTGATGGAACTTATACGCCTGATTGAAAACGAAAGCCAAATATTTGGTCTGCAATTAAACATATCAAAGACAAAGATCATGATAGTGGATAGACTACACAACAATCATCCACACATAACCACAATTGACCGGTTCGAGGTTGTGAGCTCATACTTATATCTGGGATCATTAATCACAAACACAGGGTCATTACAAGAAGAGATTAAACGTAGATGTGATCTAGCAAAAGTTGCCACAGTAAAAATGACCAAAATATGGAAGGAATGTCAAATTTCAAGAGCGATAAAGATGAGGTTGATCAACTGCTTAATATTCCCAATACTGACCTACGGATGTGAATCTTGGACTCTGAGACAATCGGAGAGAAGAAAGATAGACGCCACTGAAATGTTCTGTTGGAGACGAATGTTACGAATTTCTTGGACCGACCGTAGAACAAATAATTCAATTTTAAGAGAGCTAAAAGTTAGCCAACGACTCTCTAGTAAAGTCCATCTCCAACAATTAAAATATTTTGGGCATGTTATGAGAGCAAACACAGAAAACATGGAAAGACTCATAATACAAGGAAAGGTAGAAGGCCGAAGATCACGAGGAAGATCCCCAACAAGATGGATAGATCAAATTACAGGAATATGCCAAAGACCTATGCATGAATTTAAACAAATGACCAGAGACAGAGATCTCTGGAGACGGACAATATACGACATCACGTCGACCACTACACTCCCCCTGGGGGGTCAGGATAGAAGAGAGATATTCCAAAACTACATTCCACACTTTTTCTACATCTTGAAAGTCGAAAATTAAATATTCTTTTGGCATTATTTAATACTCTTTTTGGAAAGGGCCACATTATATTATGTTGGAGAGGAAATGCTTCATCTGCCACAAAGTATAATTATGGAATGGAAAAGTATTGTCATTTGCCTCGCCTGGCAAGGGAGTTGCTTTCGGTATGTTCAATTTGTTATTGTGCAATAATTTGCCAATTGTTGATTTGAGAAACACAGCACCGTCCATAGTCTCCGACATCTATTGCAGTGAACATTCCATCTGCGTCAAATAAAGCCATCAGGATAATTGAAAAAAACCCTTTATAATTATAATACGACGACCATGTATTAGGGGGACACTGAATGCAGAAATGTTTTCCGTCAACAGAACCAATGCAGTTAGGTAAATTCCATAACTCATGTTTTGATATTTGTTAAGTTTCCTTCGTTGGTTGAGTCATATACTGTGGTTGTAAGTGGGACCATATAGCATCACAAGTCAAATGAACGAGGTAACTGATGGTTGATTTACCTCTGTAAAATTCCAAGGAAAGATCTTGAAAACTGCTTCCAGTAGCTAGATACCTGAAAAAAAAACGATAAATTAGTTGGAAGTTTTAAATAGTTATGTTATAGTTATAAATAGTTTTAAATAGTTATGTAGGTGTTATTGTTTAATAAACATCATTTTAACATGCGATTTATTTAAAATTTAGTTCAGAAAAAACTATCGAGAGCGATGGAAGAACATCAGAACGGCATATTTATGTGCGGTCACTGAAACCGCTAAAGTCTGGGGCTAGTCAAAATTAAAAAAAAAGAGTTATTGATTGAACATTTAGCTTTTCTGCAACCATATTTGACATGAGGAGAAACCTCAGGAAATCTTACTCACGTCCAAGATGCTGCAGTCAGTAGAAGAGTCCTATACCAATCAAAATGATGGAAGTGGGACAATTATTGAAGAGGAAAACCTGATTAAGCTTCTTCAGAGCAATTAATAGAAAAACCTGCTCATAAAGACTCAAATAAAACATATAAAAAACGAAAGGGAATATACCAAGTCGACGATTCTTTTATAGAATGGTTAAAAACGAAAAAATCTGTTAATAAAAATGATCAAGATGGTGAACAGCATTTAGTTCCAGCATTTCAATTGTTTCTAGCCCATCTGTATGGAGTTTGTCATCCCATCATAGCACCGAACAAACTCAATCTCACATGCGTAATATTGCAGCAACTTCGGAATTCAATTCGATTACCCAAATGGCAGAAGAAAGTGGAACTGAGCGGTACAATTTATAAAAAACTATAAAAATAAAACTGTTTTAATAATAAAAAAAATTAAAAATAAAACGTCTACATTTTATTTAAATTGCTGATTATATTTATATCTACTTAACTTATAGTTATCAGGAGTTTTCATCTAGAGAAATAGCCTTCCTGAAATGTGTATCTTTTTTGTCAATGATTTTTGACACTAAGCTTTTTAGAAAATGAAAATTTTTAGGTATCATTCGATAAAATTCTTTTAACTTTGATTCGTGTTGAGATAGTTCTCTGGAAGCAACAGCCGAGCTATGGTGCGCGTTGATAATATTTTAAGGGCGTACCCAGTATTTTCTGTTTCTTCTTATTCTTCGCCTAAACCAATAAGCCAGTACAACGTCTTGCTCATACGCTTGAGCTCATAATTGTAACTGAAGAGAATTGTGCTTCCACCATCATTGAACTGTCGCGTCGATTTATCGTCCGTTCTCTTTGAACCTTCCTAGCAATATATCGTGGCGATAAAAGGTCGCTTATCGGATATCGCCCGAGTATGAACGCCGCCTAACGGTACATTGTTCTAGAAGTTTAGGTGGTTTGGAATTGTTAGTCCACCTAAGGGTAGGATTTGCCGAACTTCTAGACATTAAACCTGTTAACGCATTAGTATTTCTAAAATCGGTAGTTCATCGCGCCTATAGCTAAGATCCTCGACATGCCTTAACCATTGGTTATATTTGTTACACATTTTTATCATATGTATTTTTATATACAAATTCTACGTAGATTTTCTCTAATTTAGACATAATACCTTTTTTTAGATCCGTTTGACATCCACTTTTGTAATGCAAATAAGAACGGTGATTTAATAAAACAGTTTTATAAATACGTTCCAACGATAGACGAACCATGGTTTCCCTTAAATTTACACGAAGCTAGTTATTTAGACCTTTATCCCAAAGATCAATTGGTGTACTTAACTCCACATTGTAGAGATGAAATAAAGGAATACGATCATGATGCTGTGTATATCGTTGGTGGTATAGTGGACAAAGTAAGTAATATAATTTTTAATGATGAAACTGAAACAGAGGGTAATATTACTTCAGGGAATAAAGAACATTACTTCGCATTACTACACATTTTTACTATATATGTAAAAGTAAACTAGTCGCAAAAGAGAGCGAAGTGCAAATGGGGGTACTAATTGATGTTTAACAACACACATCTAGGGAAATTATTCAATATTATCATTTTTTTATGACCAATTATAAGCAGAAACTCTGAAATCACATCTTTAACTAGATATTTAAACATGTAAGGTTTTTGGGTGGCTCGTCATTTATCATCAATTCCCAACCTGGAAAAAGTTTGTTGCAAATGTTTTTGAAAAGAGATTGTGTGTGTTTAGACTTAAATGGATAACTTGTTCAATAATTTTTATAATATTACAGTAGGTGATCAAATTGTTCTGATCAATTACAAAATTTTAAGTTTTTCACAGTTGTTCGAAAGTTTTGTAGTAAAATTATATGCTGTTAAACAATAATTAAGGTATGCCAACATGTTTCGTCACTAATAACTTTACTTTTTTGACGTTGACAGCTCTAGAACTGTCATTTGTGTCAAATTATGTCACAACCACAGCATACTGCTGTGTCACAACCATCGAGCCAAAAGACAAAAGAGGAAATCTAATCGTTATGAAAAGGAGACCAAAATTCATAAAAGTGGCCTCTTAAGTCTTAGACGAGAAAGTTTTAATTAAATAATAACGATAATACTCTAAAATGTGACACAATTGTTAAAAAACTTCAGTATAAATAAGCTTTCATGTGGCAGTTGGGACAAACAATAACATAACCCAACTAAATTTGATTTCTTACACAACATACACATTGTGTTAGAATTAAATTTGTCTGTTTTTATAGTTTTTGAAGGATTTGTTTTTGAAGGATTAATATCGTTTTATCTATGCAGTATGTTTTTATTTATGTATTAGTAGTGATTATGGGTGAAAATAAATCTATCAGTTTTAATTTTAAAGACATTTTTAAAAAATATCACTTTTTGAGAATAAAATCATAATGGGTAAGGCTAAAAGCATCTATGAAACCAAAATAGTAGAGATAAAGACACTTTCATGGAATAAAAAGCTTTCACAATGTCAGATAGCACAGCAGTGCCAAGTAGCGCAAGCAACAGTAAGCAACATCACGAAAAAAACTGATACCAACAAACCCCTGACATATCAACGTGTGTAAGAAGTTTGATCGAAAGCGTGTCACTACACCCAGAGACGAGAGAAAATGAGGAATACTTTCGTAAACAACAGAAAAAAACAAGGAAAAATTCGCACTGGAATGATTCGTGAAGCTGGGATGTCAGTTTCTGACATGGCAGTCCGCAGAAGGCTTGATGATCAAGGTTTCAAATCATGTCGTTCTGCCAAAAAACCAAAATTGACCGACACAACGATGAAAAAGAGACTAATGGGCCAAAGAACACCAAAAATAGAAAATTGAGAATTGGAATATGGTAAACCACATGACTACTAAAGTTTAAATTCCTACAACCACAGTTTTTTTATAATAAAATATCTTATATTTTTTTTAATCACAAATTTGTTTCTCCAATGAGTCTACAGTGGAGACACTCATGGACAAGTCGTCCTTCGTCCGAAGACGGGTGGGTAAAAAATATCACTAGGATTGCATAGTGGAGCAAGTAAATCATCCTCTCAAGATCATGGTATGGTCTGTTATCAGTAGCAAGGGAACAGGGAGGTTGTACATTGTGAAGGGAATGATGAATCACCATCAGTATATTGAAGTTCTAGAAAAAAAGCTTATGTCATAAATTAAAGACTGGTTTTTCGAATCAGAAGATTTTATATTTATTCACGATTCAGCACCGTGTCATAAGGCAAAAACAGTAACATCTTACCTGGAAAAAAAGAAAATTTTAGTAGCCAGGTAATTCCCCAGGCCTCAACCCGATCGAAAATCTGTGGGAGCTCATGAAGAAGTGTATTGCCCAAGAAATTGTCACAAATAAACAGCAGTTAATTGAGAGACTCATTGCCACCTAGCACAGGGACGATAAAATAAGAGAAGACTGCATAAAAAACATTCAAAACATGCCAAGACGGATCAAAACTGTCATCGAAGCTAAAGGAGGTGACACTAAAATATTAAAAAAAAAATTGTTATTTAAGGTCAAAGAAAAAAATATTTCAAAGTTTTGTAAAAAACGTGTTCTTGATCTATTTACATATTATACTCACATCATTGCATGCTTATATGCAGTTTTATTCTTTATTAAACACCAAAATACAAGATTTTTGCGGTCATCATAATAATTTGATCACCCACTGTATGTTGAGTTGGAAAATAATTTTGTTATTAGAACACGTTCAAGACGGATCGTCATGTTAAAAGTTTTTCCTACTAGAACCTTCTTTCCGTCAGGCCGGAGAGGATTTTTTGCGTATTTGAATTCTTTGTGTCAATAGTAGTATCAGAAAAAAATTCGTTAGTGAAATACAATATTGTAAAGTTTAACATTTAAGAAATAAATATATATTGGTATTAGTTCATGTAAGTCTTTCGCTGATCTCGGCATTTTTGTAGTAATATCTGGATACCAAATAATACCTCCCTTGTACCAAGTCCCATACGAAATCTAAATTGATTGTCGATCAGGTTTCTTTCGCATTCTCTGTATATTCGTTGATGTACAATTTTGAGTAAAATTTTCAGAAAATGGCTCATCAGGCTAATTAATCTGAACTGTGAGCATCTATTTGCTTTATTTTTCTTGGATATAGGTATAAATATCGAAACTATCGAATCTTCTGGGAAGATTCCAGTGGTATATATTTTGTTAAATAATAGTGTTAACGTCCGAAATTTTTCTTCATTGATAAGCTTTATCACCTCTACGTATATTTGTGGTTCTGTTCTCTCTCGTCATCTTTTTCTAACAAAAAAATTATTTTATTCACTTATTTTTTAAATAAAATACGCTGCTCATGACGTATATGCATGTTTTTTATATCAAAATAAAGCTAATGTTGTTTAATATGATGATTTAAGCTTGGCTGAGAAAATGGTCGCAAATAAGGTTTGCCAGCTGTTAAAACACGAAGTATCAAAGATAAAGTAGATAAATAGAATTCGCAACGGCACTGGTTTGATAAGTGAGTCAGATAATCAGATCGGTAGGAGTGCGAGCATTACAGAGCAATAATCCTATTAACTAGCACATACAAAATTCCAGCGAACATACTAAACATGAGAATTAAATCATATGCTGAACGAATATTAGACTGGGGATATTGACAATTAATTCCATACATACAGTATAGCAAATAATTCAAAAATCGAGAGAATACAATAGAGAAATGCACGTAGTATTCATAGATTTCAAAAGCGCTCTTGATACGATTTATCAGATGGAAATGATGTAAGAACTAGAGCATTTTGGAATCCCAGAAAAATTAAGACATATGCTAACAGTGAGTCCAAAGAATACCATAGCAAAGATAAGTTTCAACGGAACTTATCTGAGATAAAAGTAAATAAAGGCTTGAAACAAGGTGACTGTATCTCTCCGACATTGTTTAATCTGATATTAAAAGCAATAATAAGGAGGACAAACTTCGTAAACAAAAACATTGTTATTGTTACACATGATCTAGTCAGCATAATAATAGCTGAGAAGGCGTAGAAGAAGGTGGTTGGATGATGTAGAAGAAGATATAAGAATAAAGAATGTTAAAGATGGTAAAGTTCGGTGCAAGGACAGGAAGAAATAAAGAGTCACTACAGCAGCAAAGTTAGACTACAAACTATAAATGACAGAGGAATAATCCACCTCGCCCAAGAATGGGATTTTAAACGCATGTCGTTAGCAAAAATCCCTAAGGACTATAACGTTTAATGCATGTATGAATATTTTTATTTAAATTAAACTTGTGTTTTTTTTTAGTCTGGTGTGTAATAGAGCTATCCGTTACAACAGACACATGTAAATATTTACGAAATACTAAGAGGAAAATACAAACTATAAATAAGTTTGTGTAGAAACCAAGAACAGATAATTAGCGAACCAATAAAAGTAAAATCATTTTGAAAAATCGACTTCCAAGCTTTGCTAGGAACACAAAATAATGGCTACCCTCTGGAATTGCGGTATATGGACGCTTGGGATGAAGAGATAAGACCCCTAACTACTGCGAGGTTAAACAAACAATACGAGCACAAAGAAACAAGGTATCTTATTAGAAATTACTTACCCAATCTATAAAAAGGGAACAAACTGAAATGTAAAAAGTATCATGGCGTAATCCTCTTTTGCTCAGCTTACAAAATCTTTACATCTATCCTCCAAGGTCAACCCGCAGTCGACCTTTTACAAAAAAGGTCGACGATCGATCAGTTCTTCACCCCCAAACAAATTTTAAATAAACCCAGTAGTAACCATTACTAATATCTTATTAATTTTATTCGGAAAAATTCTCGGAACAGGTCGATTTAAAACACACTCATTGAATATAACAATAACACAGGTGGTCTGATACTTAATATTAAATGGAATTTTATTTCTCATTTTATGTTTAAAATAAAAATGAAATTATTTTAACACAGCTTCAGGAAAGTTTAAAATTTAAAATAAATTAATCAAATAAAGTAGCTAGGCGCCGGTTTATTATCATTTTCTAAAAATGAAGAGATTTATTTGAAAAAGTGTTTTGAATTCTAAATTTGATTTGCTGCTGTCTTAGTTTTTGATTGGTTTATTGTTTCACTTTATTAACGTTATTTGTTTTTATTTTACGCCGAAAATTATCTTATTAGCTGACAAGTGTGAAGCCATTATTATTTTTTTTTTGAAAGGCTAATCAAAATTACCGATTTCGATAAGCCATTACGACTCTTTTATTTTTCAGGTCAACCAGGAACCATTATCTTTAGCAAAGGCTAAGAGGGAAGGAATACGAATGGCAAAACTACCTCTGGACAGATATCTTCAATGGGGAGCTGGGTCGGGTAAAAGTCTAACATTAAACCAGGTAGTGGCAATTTTACTTGACCAAAAAGTGACGGGAGATTGGCAGCATTCTTTAAGGCATGTTCCAAAAAGGAAACTTATGGAAGAAAGTACTTTAAGAGCAATCGAACAAACTTACAATAGAAGAAAACAGACTCAGTTTAAACCACAATGGAAACCCTCACGAAATGTGAATTTTGATAATTTAGGATTTAATAATAGAAGTAAGAAAAGTTTTAGTAGTAATAATAAACCAAAAAGAACTATAAATGTTAATTCAATGTTAGAAGAATGATTTTTATAATAAAAAAAGTAAAATATACATATAATCTTTTATTTAACTATAATTAAAAAACTGACTTTGATACCATAGCAAAGAAATTTATTTGAGAGTTTTGTTTGTTTGTGTTCTACATTTTATTTTCTGTTGGAGGAGAGTGATAAATATCATTTGGACGTAGTTATGCAAAAACCTGCCAAACCACAGATGTTTTGACAAAATCGATAATATTGGTTTAAAATACTTTTTGTTTTAATTTTGTTTTTTATGAGTTTAAATTCATTCTGTGGCCGCTAAAATAAGTTGAACTCTATTTAAATCGAATTTCTAATACGTAGTTACTGATTTGTATTTTTTAAAAAGATTTTTGTGGATTGGTAGGTTTCTGTATATTATGAAATTAGGGTTTTTACACTGAAGTAAATAAAAAACATAATAAAAAAAACAACATAACTTTTAATTTTGAACATCATTATCATAATTAACTTCAAAGTCAAGATTATCAACATTAAACACTTCAACATCGTCTACTATAATGCCGTCGGCTTCGAAATTTTGATAAAATTCGTGACAGTCTACCGGAATCAGATGCATCATTTCCCTTAAATTCTTTAGTTTTTCTTCTGAAATTGGTTTTCCGTTTGGCCATAACTTAATTATTAGATCTAAAAATACTTGTTTTTCTGAGGGCAATTTCATTTGGTTTTCATTTTTATGTCAATCTCTTGAAATGGAGCTTCAAAAGAATTTTGTTGAATTATCAGGGTAAAGAATTTATTTTTTTCTATTCGAATACTTCGAAAATGAAGCCAGTTAATTTTCATACCGTCAGTAGCAATTTTTCGGTTAAAAATGTTTTTTCCGACATTTTTTATGCCATAAAACTCAGTTGATCCTATCTTAGTTAGTAACAACAAACGGCTTTTTCGTTCGGTAGCTACGTATAACGTTCATGTATTCCTTTGGTGTGTATAGTCTTTGTTGGTGCTTTAGGGCTGATTCTATAGCAGCACAATCCGAATCATTTGGCAAGAAGCTGTGTCCTGAATATAAAAATTTTAGTGTTATATCTTCCAGTTCAGGGGTACGGTGTAAAATATATTTTAGCATAAGAGTAAGCTTAATATTTCGGTTCTGACCGCCACATGAGTCACTCCACAATATAAGATGACGAACAGTCGACAACAAGTTATTTTTTATATGTTTAAGGATACAAGAACCTACTTCCTAAGCACCTCAGCCCAAATATAACAAAATCCCCTATCGTCCTTTCCACTGTGTATGCCAGCATTATAAACCCATAGATGGCGTTTATAAAAACTATATTTTTCGGGATTCTTGGCAGAGGCAAAGTTTTTTCTAGATCAAACGTAAGACATTCCGTGTGATCATTATTTTTGGCTAATAAAAATCTTCTCTTCTTAATCTTTGGACGTTTTCGGCGATCTCAAGGTGTTTGTTGTGCTTTTCTTGTAGTTCTTTTTTCTATCTGGATCGATTTCATTATCTGCTTGAATTTTAAGACTATCGCAAGAGTTACAGGTATCCTTTTTTAAACGTTTAAATTTATGGACTCGCAACTGTTGCGTATCTTAGTTTGATAAATAATGGTTTTATGGAATTTGTTGCATTATCGTCAGCCCAAATTTCACCAAGTACCGTCCTGATATTCGGATTTTCAGCATCTTTAAAATGCATCCCTAAAATAATACAAAAAAACAAGTGTTAATACTAGCATTTCTAATAAATTAGTATTTATTTACCACGTTGTGTACTTTTCAACTTTTCTTCTTCTCCTCGTGATTCTTCTTTTCTACCTTAATATCGTTTTTCTAGCCATTCTATCTCTATATCTTCTGCAGAATCCTCAAACTGAGATATTTGGTAAACACAATCTTCTCCATGGTGTTCTTCTGCATTTGCAGCCGCTCCCGATTTTGTATATTTAGCTAAAAGAAGTAAAATATTTATAAAAAAGAAGTTGGAACCTAACTAGGACAGCCGACAGGTAAAACAAGTCAATCTATAATGTTTTAATAGGACTATACCAGACTTACCTTCTGCATTATTCTCATCATCTTTCGCCATAGCGATAATCTTGCACGTTCTGCTTTTCATTATCTCTCTGTTGAAATTGTTGATTTTAGTAGTTTACACAAAACTAATTCGTTTTTAACACCAAAAAACACAATGATGTAATTATTTTATCTAATTAAAACTTAATTAATTAAAGGAATCACTCCGGAGATGATACACCTGCCGCTTTGTATACGTAAACAAACACAGATAAATATTTTCATAACCTCTATGTGGTAGTTTCTGATTTTACAGAATCCCACCAACCTTTAAAAAATTCATACAATTTTTAAAACAAATCATTGCAGAAAGCAACCCACTTGGTTGGTCTAAAAACTCTGTGATTTACCAACCAAGTGGGCTGGTAGCCTTTTGCAAAATGGACGTATAAACATATATGAATGTGCAAGGTAAATAAGAGGGTTGATAGGTATTTGCAGAATATAAATTGTTTAATGCTAGATCGATCCCTTGGTAGCTTAGGGATTATAAGATAACAGAAAGCTATTTTGGGATAGTAGGTTCTTGCAAATCATAGTATTGACAATAAAAAGTCGTTTTATGAGGATTATTCAAAAATTTCAATTTTGTGGATTTGGTAGGTTTTTGCATAACTACGTCCATTTATGAATATTAACTAAATATTTTAATATTGTTCCGATAGTTCCGTAAGATTTATTCCATATAGAAAAAGTACCACGACGAAAAAGAAAAAGAATTAAAAATCTAGGATGTTCTAGACGTCATCGAAATGTCTCCAAATGTGTTGGTAAAGTTTTGTAACGTTAGTAATAGAGTGTTTGAATAGTTATCACATTCAGTTAGAGTTGTTAACAAGTATTATATTATTTGCAGTTTTGAATAAAAGTAATTAGAAAGAAATGAAACATTGGTGACAACGGTCGGATAAAAGAATATTAAGTAATTATTAATGGTTAATAAAAGATCTACCGAATTTGATAAAGAAATACGTCCGGATCCCCGCATGGAAAGAGAGTAGCGTTGGTAAAAGAGGAAGAGGTGAATGAGAAGCGTAGACAAGATGAGGGAGATACAAAGGAATGGAGGCATAGAAAAGAAGAGGTAGAAATCATAAATGCTTTATTTCAAATTAATATTATTATAGGTACATTAAATTACTAGTAGAATAGATAAATGAGAAAAGCAGCAGAACGATATAAAGACCGATTAAAAAAAACGAAATAGACAAACAACAAAACTATTTAGAAAAAATTGGCTCCCGTATCTAATATTGTTTCATTAACTACCCGTTTTCAACTCGAAGCGGCAGGTAGAACATATTATGACTGGACTCAAAGTGAAAACAGACGTTTTAATTGCGGAAGAATATTTTCAAAATATACTCAGTGTCATTAGAAGTGTTACACCCATAAGGAATAATTTCTTGAACTTATTTTTTTGGCAACACAGTAGATATACATCAAGAAAGAAACGATAACGTTGTCAAGAATTTTTATTTAGTTAGTTATCAAAAAAAATGTGTTTGGCGACCCCGTAGCTGAATACACTCCTGTATACGTCTAGGCATTGATAAAATGAGATGATCGATGTCTGCTTCTGGCACCTCGTTCCAAGCAACTTGAACTTCATGTATTAACTGTGCCAGAGTCTGTGGAGGATGGTGCAAAGTGGACAGTCTCCTTCCCATCATATCTCATACATGTTCGATAGGATTTAAATCCAAGCACGGGGCGGCCACGGCAAAATATCGCCAGCTTCTTGTAGAAAGTCCAGAGTAAAAACGGTCTCGCAGAGCCAGTAATCTAAAGCGCCTATCTTGACGCTCTGTGGTACGCCTCGGTTGACCAGTTGGTCTTCTTCGTATTCCTCTACCTTCGTTTGTCCACACATGACAGATACGCATAATTTACGCGTCATTACTGTACAATTAACACGACGGTCAATTTCGCGATACGATAAACCCATATCTCTATATATTGTACGTAATAATTCTACCCATGATACTATGACTATAAGATAAGATATTGCGCATTTTTTTGTGACGTCATTGGAGAGTTACACGTTCGAAATGTCAGATTTTTGTATATATCAATAAATAATCTTTAATAAATAGTTTGGAGATATCCTTACGTGTACGATTATTGTAATTATTAAATCTCTTAACTTATTTTCGCCTAGTAATTTCATCACAGAGTGCATACAAATCCCATTTAACTTTAACAAGATTTCAAATTCTACTCTCTAATGACGGCATGCGCGAACCCGACCGATTTTGAGCTACGGGAAGATCCTATCTTGTTATTCATAGTATCATGATTCTACCCCTGTCAAAATCGTTAACATGATGGTAATTTTGGTGTCTTCAAACTCGAGGCATTTTCTTACACTGAATATAATTATACTGAGGAATTATAACTAAAAATTTCTATACGAACCGGTTTTCACAAATCGGTCTCTTCAAAAAACAAATCTAAAGATAAAACTTAATATTTACAAAAAGTAGAAAAGATAAAGCATTGGTATTGTTATAGAATGTTTCATATAAAAATGGCTACACTTCATTCAAGATTTACGACGTCAGAACCCCACAGCGCTGTCAAAACATTAGAATAGTTAATAAACAAGGACACTAAACACAGATGTAGTCAACCGTTCTTGGTTAATAAATGAGGAATTTTTAAAATGTCAACTATAATACACAAGTCAATTAAATTTTTAAAATGAGTAAAAAAACTTTAAGGTTTTAAAAACTTAATAAACCCAATGCTTATAATAAAACGAATTTACTAATTTGACTAACCTTTTACCATTTGTTTTTCTGGTTCTGACATTTCATTTGTCTTCATTTTGTCATGAACCATGACATACTGTTCCATTTTGGAAAATTTTTGTTTCATAAAAAAAACAATCTTATACAAAAATTTCTCGACAATATAATTTCTTAAAGTAAAGTTCTCTTTACTG